AACAGTGAACTGATGCGGTGAAGCTACTAGTAACAGCAGAAAGGAGCTGCTCCAAGAAGGTACAAACACTGAATAGAAGAAGAGCTGCCATCGATACAGTCGTAGCCAAGCATGATTTAATGTTACACAATACAGTTTTACCAAGTTACTCAAAGTCTAAACTGGTATTGTTCTGCATTTAAGGTGTAAAGTTTACCTTCAACCAAACGCCCCCCAAAGGAATCCCAGCGCCCCCCCTTTGTAAAAATTTCCGCCAGCGCCCCCTGCCGTACTCTGAACGCCCCCTGGGAGGCGGTACCGCCCACGTTGAGAACCACTAGTTTAAACAATCGTGTCAAACAAACCAAACCCTCTAATAAACCTGTTTCCCCCCCTCATCTGCGGTGACGCTGCACCAAGAACTACTGAAGGAAACGACAAAAACCTCTGAAGACAACATTAGTGCAACTTCCTTCTTCACAATATGTAAACAAAAATGGAGTAGCGTCGAATATTAGTGGTAATAGGATTTCTCTTTTGTCTTTGGCAAAAGACCAGGAAGCATTTTCCCTGCTAGCGCCAGACTCAGGTATCTGTTTTGGTTGTATTTACCCCCAGAATGCCCTGCGTTATGGTACGCTTCCTGTTTTTGGAGCAGTCTCCATGTACCAGATTTTGTATTTTTGGTCCGCATCAGAGTTCAATTATGTATTCACACCTCTAAAACAAACCGGACTTTCTAGGCAAACAAACTAGAGTCCAAATAAAGTGGACTTAACAGGGCTGGTCTGAAGTCATTTGGAAATACGAATGTGAAAAAAACAAACATCTTAATTATACCGATTAAATCTCTGTAGAGATAACCCTCAAATAATTAACAGCTTTAAAGAAAAAATGCTAATCTCTTCTAATTTTTTTGTAGGCCATGTATTATTTCTCTTTCAGTTCATAATTATACTCTACTCTGTGTTAGTCAAACACACAAAGTCCCATAACATACACTGCTGCACTTTATGATCTTCAATGACAATTCCTGACAGT